TTTAGGGATTAGGGCTCAAGACCACAGTCATGGCTTGGCAGTGGAAGCCAAAGACATGGTGTTTGGAGGCCTGCCTGCAACTCAACGTGCGCCGCTCCAGGCGCCACACCTTCAAAACAATGCGTCAGGAGAGCCGGCAAGGCAGCAGACATGTTTTTGGGTCCGTGGCCAGGGGTTGCTGCCAAGTCCGGCTGTGCGCCGCTCCAGGCGCCACGCCTTCAAAAAGGTGCGCCAATGGGGTCGGCTGTGGGGGTTTGGGTGCGCTCGCCAGCGAAAAAGGGGGCGCGGCATCTGGAGCGGCGCGGCTGACGCCGCGCCCGGCAAAAAGACAAGAAAACCAAACCATTTCCATTTTATCCGGAGACCTTCACGAAGCGGGAGCTTCAGTAACGAAGGAAGCTTCGTCCTCGGCTTCGAAGCGAAGCCTTCGAAGGTAGAAGGTCGAGGAGGCTGCGTCTTTAACCCTGCCTTCCTCCCCTTCGAAGCCTTCGAAGCTCCCTTCGTCCTCCTTCTCAAAGCCTTCATCAAGGTTCTGAAGGCTTCGAAGAGAGCTTTGAAGCCTTCGTTTGATGTCGTTTTCTTCGTTTTTCGCCCCCCAAAAGCGTTCTCGTCTTTTCGTTTGGAGAGAACGTTAAGTTTCTTTTGTCTCTTTAAAGTTGAGAGCTTTGAAGGGGGCTTTAAAGGCTTCGGAGATTCCTTTGTTCTCGTCCTTGAAGGCTTCCAAGCCTTTGAAGGCTTCGAAGGGGCCTTCGTTCTCAGCTTCGAAGCCTTCGAAGGCTTTCTCACGTTCGGCGGCCTCCCGCTCCCCGCTGCCTTCGACCCGTCGACCTTCGAAGGCTTCGAAGGCTTCAAAAGTCTTGCCAAGAAAGAGTCCTAGAACCAGTTCCATCCATTTTTCTCTCGGCAACAACATAAATCGACTGTGTTTGTTGCATCTGTGTTTTTTTCAAAACAAATCCGCCGCGGCGCTTTCATACGGCTGCCCACTAGTTGACTGCAAACAGCTTTCAGAGACGCAGTTTCACAAAAGACCTTTAACACTTCGAACTTTGCATGCTTTGTGGCAAAGGGCGTTTGCCATTTGCAAAAATTCAAGATGCGTGTCCTTGTGCTATTGGATCTGTGACGAAGCTGCATGGAACATGGTCAAGCGCAGTTGGATCGACATTCGACGTGGGCGGTGTAGTTTTATATCGCCGGGTTTGGAGGCTTGAGATGTCAATAGGCAATTTGCAATCTCCTTGGTTTGCAAAGAAGACCCTCAAACTTTCTTCGGCGAAACACGACTGTCTGAGGTGGACTATTTATGTTGTGGCCCATCATGCCAAGCAAGGCTGAAAGTGCACTATTCCAGACAAGACAGGTTTCCATGGTCGTTGTCACATTCTGCGTCTGGCTTGAGGGCTTCCACCCAAATGCAAGTTTAACAATCTTATGAAGAGATCAAAACTTAAGACATAAGTGGCAGGGAGACGTGGAGTTGTGGACCATAGGAGATGGCTCAACTGCCTTGGTTCAGCTGGTGAAAAACGATAGGCATGGAGCTTCAAAGTTTGATTCGTCTCGGAGCACCCGACGAACAGCATCTGATGGCCCAAGGAAAGATGGACCATGAGTTGGAGCTCTTACAATTCCAAGCTTGCTTTTTCTATTTCACGACATGTTGGGATGACATGTCGTGAAGGTGTAAATCTTGCTCGCAGAACATGCCTGAAACTTGCAGCCGTGGCTTGTGCTAGATGTGACAGACTCACGTAAGCTTCAAGAGTCAGCGGCACTGGTGAATCACTGGATGCGCCGTCCGTCCACTGCATCATGGTGACATGAACTTTCTGGGCAAGATTCATGAGTGGGGTCCTGGAGTTAGAGATGATCGTTTTTCAAGGTGTGTCCTGCGCTTCTGTTGCGACGATGCAAGAGCTTGAATAAGGCAATACACGGAACTTTGGAAAGCGGTCATTCGACCTCCACGCGATCATTATGAGATCAAGGATCCGGCTGGAGGGCTGGTATGCAATTCTTCGTTTTTAAGCTGTCGGTCAGAAGTGTCTGTGTTTCAGCAGTCAGAGCTTTGGAAGGAGAGTGTTTTGTGATGCAAAGTGTCATGTTTCACCCTGCCTGGGTTGCTGGCACGGCCTCGTCAGGACCTGGGGCCACCAGTTTTCAGCATTGAGCCATCTTCTCAGAGTAGTTGCAGGACCTAGCAGCAAGTGCTTACACGCAGCCGAGGAGCAAAACTTTCCAGCGGACGGACATCTCTTTGAAGAATCCTCGCGGCTTGACGATAGTGTTCTCGACTTGGTGCTACATGAACTATTTTTCGGCTCTCGACCACTTCAGATCACGTTCTACTCAGGTGCAGCCATTTCGAGCCCATCAGCAGGAAGGGTCAGCAAGCCGAGATGTGAGGGAGCGGCCTCCTGACCAAAGCTCCGCTGCGAGGGAGCGGCCGGCGGGAAAGCTTCCGTGCGTCGTGTATCTCCACGGGAACTGCAGCAGCCGGCTCGAGGCGGAGACAGCACGTACCATACCAATGACTTCTGTGTTGGGTGCAAGTCCTAGGCGGTGAGCACATTGCCGGCGCTCTTGCCCTTCAACATTACCGCTTGAAGCTGAGTGTCTGAGATCTGCTGCTAAAACCTTCCCAGCGGTCGAAGAGGAGCTCGTTTGGTTCTTGAGGTCTTTTGCTTTGATTTCGCCGGTTCCGGTTTGTCTGATGGCGAGTGCTCGCTGCGGCTTTCTACTCTGTTCTGCCATCTTGCTAGACAGAAGCTGCAATCAAACTATGCATTTGCTGCTGATGCTAGTAGCATAGCTTCGAAAGATGTGGTGTTGGCCATCCTGCCTCTGCAAGTAGAGCCTGTCGCCGCAGGTATCTCAGTCTTGGCTACTACGAAAGGGACGACCTTGCAGTCGTCATAGATCACCTCCGGGAATCCAACCGGGTGACCTGCATAGGCAGTCATCATGCGAGTCTGAAGCCTTCCTTCTCTCCTTCTCCTTCCGTCTTTATCACTGCCAGGCCTGTGGGGCAGGTCGATGGGTGCTTCCACGGCTTTGCTTCATGCAGATCGTGCCACACTCGGAAGCTGTCGCCTTCCGACTTCCCTTTCGCAGTCATCCTACGACTAGGCGATCCCTCAATCGCGGGCCTGGTCCTGGACAGTCCTTTCTCGGATTTAAAGGCCTTCGGTCTTTCGATACTTGTCTGTCTAAGCGAACTCTGGCCAGTTCACCCTGAGTAGAAACGGAAGGTCCTCTGCGAGGAATTGGTGGATGGCTACACGAACAGCCGGGTGCCAAGGCAAGGCTTCCAAACTCGGATTTCTCGAAGTTTTCGCATCAATGCCCTGCGCTCGCAGGTGGGTCGTCGGCATCGCTCTTCAACTGGTGCAGAACTTACCTGGCCCAGGCCACTTGTAGCTCAGTGTGGAACCCAAAGGTGCGCAATTCCATCAGTGCACATGCCGATTTTGACATCTACGACCTTGCACCTGTCCAGCCAGAAGCTGAGAGCGAAACGTTGCTGCAATCTGACAAGGGCACACCTCGTAGTCTGGAGCTGTGCGGTTCCGGAGGCATGTCTCGACGTCTTTCATCCCCGCACTGTTCACAGCCGCGTGCAGACTCGAGGGCTCCGACAGTCTGAGAGTCGATGTCTCGAAGTCAGAGGTACAACGACCATTTCATCAAGCCTCACCACGCCAGGGAGCTGCATTCTGCGTACGCTGGTGACAAGGTAGGCTCGGCTCTTGTTGGTGAAACTCTGCTTCGTGCTCTGTGTCAGAACTTCATCATGGTGGAGGGGGATCACAACTCGGCGCGGTCCAAGTTCTTCATGGACTCAGTCTCCATCTTTTTCTTCAACACACTGCAGGTTCGGATCACTGCATGCCAGTATGGTTGTGGCCCAACAGTTGAACCTTGGCAGTGTGATGCCTTGGCGGTGGACGTGCAGAGTGAGGCAAGGGCCTGAAACCCTCAAGTCTGTGAGCATGCTGATCTGTACTGTAGCAGGCCGGTGCAACTGCGGAGATCCTCGCGGATTCTGCCCGCAGGTGAGTGTCTTCGGAGCTGTTGAACGCCGCACGATCGATGTCTCAGCGGATGCAGGCCGCAGCCACCGGTATCGCAGCTGGTCGAGCCGCCTGCCCCAGCCGTGGCCCCTGCTTTCCGAGCTATTAGCCTCAATTATCCTCAACTGCTTCTTGCCCTGAGTTGCCACGAGGCATCTCAGGCCTTGGGCTTGCAGATGCGGCCACCGGAGAGGTCAGCGAGCATAGCGGCTCAGGGACGCTGCATCTACGTCACGGCCGTGCTGAGGTCTATGTGATGCCTCGAAAGAGGTGTCAACTGTCGAGGCCAGTGTCAGCTCCAGGCCCGCCAAAGGCGCACAAGACCACGGCCTGCACACGATGCTCTGTCAAGGGGCAACACCGTCAACTCGCTGGAAGCCACGAGCACCCGAAGCAGTGAGGACGCAGCGTACCGCGCCTAGCGAGTACCCGTACCTTCGCGGCAAAGGGCGCGCTCCTCCTACCCTGCCGCACACCACAGCAAGCCTTTGCACTCGCATGAGATTGCAAGTTGTCATCAAATCAGAGGCTTGCATGCCGCGACATTTCGTCAGTCCGAGCATACCTGACTTTGATAGCGGCACTGATTCAATATTCCAGTCCACAAGCACCTGAGACCTGAGCCCAGAGAGGGGGTGCCGTGCTGTTTTTGCGCCTGGTGCCCTCTAGTCCCGTCCTGCTGCCGCTGAATTCTGGAGTGCGCAAGGCTGCAGACTTTCTGAGAGCACCGGAGTCTTGTGGAACGTTTGTCCTATCCCTGGAGGCAGAGCCAGGATGGGCAGGACATTGCTTGTGCACGCGGCAACGGTTCGTGCACTCCTTGCTGTTCTGAGGAGACAGGATACGAAAAAGCGGGAGGCACCGAAAGCTTCGTCAAAGAAGAAAGATGCCACTGGAGGCATCCCAGTACTGTGCTGGCTGCTCGAATCGTCTGCTGCAGGCGGCCTGTGCGCTTTCTGTCTGAGGCTACGGCAAAACCGAGCGTCTGTCGGCAGATGCTCTTGGCTTCCAGATAAGGACACCGGCTCTGTTTGCTGCGCTGCTCTTCTGAATTGGGGGAGCAGGGAATGAATTGGCAGGACCGGTCCAGATGCTCCGAGCAAGACCGGTGCGAGCATGGATATCGAGGCACAAGATGCATGCAAAGGCATTGTGTAGCACTGTAGCTGCTGGGAAGTGACCTCAGCGGCATCCAGGTCAGTGAGATCGTTGTCTTTGCTGGGAAACAGGCATGTTGTGATTCTGCTGGCTCCGGAGGGTTTGTGAGCCTTCAGCAGGAGCTCTTGTACAATGCCACGCTGAGACTGGCTCAGGGCCACAAGTGCGCACATGCTTGGACGAGCCCCAGACTAGGGTTGCATAGCCTCTGGGTCTTGGGTATATCCGGTGAGCGGTATCACCCTCATTACCCTGTTATTACTGCATAGATGTTATCCTACAGCCATTGCGCGATGCTTTCTGCGCAGTTATCAAGCCAGCTCTTTGGTATGGGATGTTCCGCGACTGTACCTCAGGAAGAGACTTCTCTCTAACACCATGTTGGTGTCTCCGGCTGATGCGGAACAGCCTTGAGCAGGTACGGGCTTATCGGTCGCAACGGTGTTGGCAAGAGTACGCTGCTCCGGGCCATGGCAGAGCGTGATGGTGCTGGACTTAACCGACAGTCTCACACGGGAACCGCATCTCCCTACCCGCTTCACCGACGATGCGGCATGCTTTAGGCTCATGTCCAACCTTTCATTCCTCGTTTGAGTACCGAGGACGCGTGCCGATCCCACAGCACTTCATGATTATGCATGTCGAACAGGACATGTTGCCTGTGCCTGCACACCATACTTGCCATATTCGCAGACGACCCAGCCACTTGCAGTGCCATTGTCCAGGAAATCAAAGGCGATGACACTGCAGTTCTGCAGAGTGTGCTGCAGGCCGGGACGAGGATGTTGCCAGCTATGTCCCTTTCCTTGGGAACAGCTAGCTGTACCGTACCACAAGCTCGGTTGAAGGCATTACGTACTTTATTCAGTAATCCGACTAAGTGCCAGCATAGCTAAACGGCACGGCCTTAGACTTACCACCAGTTTCGATTTCACACTAAAGTTTCACTCTCCGAAGGCTGACCAGGAGCGTGAGTGGCTGCTCAAGGTGGAGCAGGCCGCTAGCTTTGGCCGTTGCCCAGAAAGCTTCGGCTCTGACCGTGGCTTGAAAAAAGGAGTTGCTCGAAAAGGAGGACGATGGGAGCGGCCAGGAGCCGAAGGCAGGAAGCTGTTGTCAGCAAAAGCTATTCCCACCAGCAAGAGACATGCGACACAGCACAGGTGGGCGGTGTCGGATTGATGGAGGCCACCGGCATGTGCCCACTTGACAACGTATGTACATTGGAACATGTTTGCAAGAACGTGAGGTTTACGAAAGGTTGGAAGAGCTGGGGAACGATGATGCCGAGGCGCAAGCGGGCCCCGCATTTTTTCGTCGGCGTGCTCCAACCATCAGCTGAGGCTCGAGCGGCTGTAATCTTGGCCGGGCTTGGCTTCTCGGGGGAGGCCGGGGCAAAAGCTCGCCGCCCTCCCTGACGTTTTCTTCTTTTCTGGCAAAAGAGAGTGCAATAAGACTGCCCAAGGACCAGCAGCGGCCGACTAGAGAGTTCAGCGGGGGCTGGCGCATGCGAATTGCACTGGCGCAATCGCTTTTTGCCGAAGTCTCGGAGGTTTGTGGGGCTTTCACAGCGCTAAGAACAACCGTGGATCGCCGAGGTGCAGCCAGATTTGCTCCTCTTGGACGAGCCGACGAACCACTTGGACGTCCACGCGGTGACCTGGCTCGAGGCCGCGGAGTGCAGCGGAGTGCAGCCAAGCGGGGGCTCTTTCTTGGTTGCTAGGAATTTTTGAAGACCTGGGAGAAGACCGTCGTGGTCGTTTCTCATGATAGGCCAGGACGAGTGCGAGCGCTGTCAGATCAAAGTCCGCCAGCCAGGTGCTTCTTGAACAATACTACATCCAACACTGTCTTTCTGCACCGCAAGAGGCATCCTTTTCTGCAAAGCTGGTAGCTCGCGGGGCCCCACGCCTGACATTCTGTGATCGAGCAGGTTATGGTACTATGGTGGCAATTACGAGACGTTCCTTCGAGTCCGAGCAGAGCAGCGGACAAATCAAGAGGCCAGCTGACGACAAGCTTTCTGCGCGACTCTCTCCTGAAGTTTTTTTGGCTGCTTCCTTGCAGGCTATTTCCCAGCAGCAGCAAAGGAAAGTCCGAGCCTTGCAAATTCCTGGTCCTAGTCGTGAGATCTGTGCTCTTGGCACGACGCCTCCTGCAGGTGGCGAACTTGAAGCAGTTCATCCAACGCTTCGGGCAAGGCCACAAAAAGATGGCCAAGCAGGCATCGCTTCGACCTTGGGCATACTGTCCTCTCATGACACGGATTGGACGGGTTCAAGCACTCTGCTATACTCTGCTCCTCCTCCTTGCAGCCGTGACTCTCAAAGAGCTGCCTGGCCTGGGGCCAGGGACACTGAGACGAGGCCGGCTGATAATCCGATCTCGATGTTTCAACTCAACCCTCCGGCTGCAGTGCTTTTTCCTCGGAGGGAGAAGCTGGTTTGCCATTTCGCAACACTTCTGTTATGGAGGAGAAATGAGCCGGGCACCACGCCTGTTGCGAATCCGGCCCGTGCTGGCTCTTACCTCTGTGGCTGCGGCGCCGCTTGTGGTCCGTCGATTCGACAGGCGCCACGACCCTAATGTGTAGCCCTGAGGGCGACGGCGTCTCTCCTTGTTTTTGGGAGGTCTTTCGCTCGCTGCGAGAATCGCGCTGAGCAGTCGCTGGACCAATTCTTGAAGAGCAGCAAGGCATGGCCCCTTGCGGTGCATAAGATGCATACGATTACATACGTTATGTTTGTGCTACTCCAGTCTCTCCACAACGGCGGTCAGCATATCGCAGGCGCAGCAGTGGATCGAGCTCAACAGCGACAAGTCACGTGCCTGTGTTCAGGTTTTGAACTCCACGGACAGAACACACGCATTCCTGGACTCGACGTTGTGTGTTCTGAGGTCGCAAAGCTGTCCCTGGGATGCATGCATGACCCTGGCACCGACAAAATAATGAGAGTCCCAAGTCAAAGGTTTGTGCTTGCTGGTCCCGCATGTTACGCGTCTTTGTGCACCAAGGTTTAGTTAACACTGATTCTGTGGACTGGATTGAGACCGCAGCGGGTGGAGTTCGGCGCAAGATGATAGAAAGGTGCCTGGATGTGCATGGTGCAGAGATGTGCAGAGCTCGCAGTGCTGACAGAATTGAGCAGTCCTGATGGGTGTACCCAGGCTTGGTGGAGAAGTGGCTAGAGCCACAACAGTCGTCAACTTTCAGCCCAATGCTTCCTTCCCTGCACATGTGCATAGGGGCGGAGAGGACAGGGCAGTTGAAACCGGTTCTTGAGGTAGGGGCAGCCAAGACACTCGACCAAGCCTGCATCCAATCACTGTGAGGAGTTCCTGGTGTTACAGGGCGATTGGTACGACGACTGGGCCACTCAGCCGGCCTACACGTATGTCCGCAACTACATCGGTTCCAAGCATACACCCCGAATTGGGCCGAAAGGCTGCACCATCTTGGTCAAGCTCTGCCAGCAGCTTGTCCAAATGGCTGTCCAAAATCATGCACTGCTTCCCCCGCTTCCCGACTGTCGTTGTGTTGCTTGTGGCATTCCTCAAATTCGTTCCCGTTTCTGTCAACTCTGCTTGTCTTTTGGGGTTTCGCAGCTTTTTCATCAACTGTGTTGTTGCTGTTCGGTTCTTCAGGACCAGCCCTTTCTACACTCTAAACCAGACCCCAAGAAGCCCGAAGCCCACAACCGGAACTCGGCAACCCCAAACCCCACCCTGCGCCCGATTCGTTGATCCCTTGAACTGGATCCTACGGAATCCTAACACCGGAAACCCAACGCTCAACAGTGTCAGTTGCCTGCAGCACCGAAAAACAGTCAACAAACACAAACACGAAAGCCTACAAAGCCTAAATCCTAGACCCCGAACCCAAAGTCAAAACCCCAGAACTTTTAACCCTACCTATACCGAAGACTCTGAGCAGCAAACCCGAACCCAAACCTTCAACTCTAAAACCAATACAGAAGCATATAATATACATATTCTTGTGTATATATATATATACTAATGTACACACGTATGTACCCATGTAAACACTCACAGAGAATTCGTGTCCTTCTTGTGTCCTTCCTAAGGGCCAAACCCTGTTCCTGACTCCACATCCCCATCACGTTTTCTTCTTTTGTGAACTTGTGGGTTGGAATTCAGGGCTTAGGATTTTAGGGTTAGGGTCATCTAAGAATCTAAGGTTTACACGTCAGGTTTAGATTTTGAGGTCTGGGATTTAGGGCGTTGGGCATGTTGCTTTGTAGCCGTGTCAACATCGTACTCAGCATTTCTAGGCTTGCATGGCAGTCGGACGCAGGGACGCACCAATTGCGAGAGTGAGTGAGTTTCGGGTCTCTTGTGGCCAAGGCCACCCTGGCCTCCAGGGATCTTTCCTTGAAAGCACCTTTCCAAAAGGATAGCGGCTGGCAACATCGGCAATCTTCTTGTGTTGAGTTTCCGCCTTTCGGCGGCCAGAAACCCTGAACATCCGGTGGTACGGTAATCAGTTTTCCGGAAACAACAGTTAGTTTCGCAGCATCGACCATATTATGACTTTCGTCTAATTTCTTTCATCAAGAGAACGGGATAAGCATCGCAAGCGAAACGGGATTCCGGAAGGGTGGGGTGACACTAAACTCCTCAAGCGGGCTTTCGAATCGCCGGCTCTCAATCACGTAAATTCTATCCCGAACCCGAGGCCCCAAGCCCAAAACCTAAACCCAACCATTGACCCGGGTCAACATCAGAAAAGAGACGTGATTGACACAAAGTTCACCCGATGTCCTAGACAATACAGTCGAAACCCTAAACCCTAAGCCGCAAGCCATAGAAAAAAAGACGCGGTTGACAGGAGAAACGAGTTGTTAGCCACAAACAGAAATATACGTTACAAAAAACGACCCCTTAATAGGCTGGTGTGAACCAAGGATGTCCGAGCAGCACAAGGAGCCCGACCACTCTCAGTGGGATATTTCCGAGTCCAACACAAACTGGAGGCACCGTCGTCCGATCCAGTGAACAATGCCGCGTGCTTCTTTGCAAGTCTCAGGGTTTGCTCCTCGATCAGTGGGCGACGGCTGCTGAATGTTTTCGAGTCCCCTCTAGAGGAGGCACAGGAGTCTTGTGCTGCTTCTAGGATGGGCTAGGGGCGCTCGCGCGGGCTCTCAGGTCCACTTTGAGCGTTGGCAGCCGAATCAATCAGGCCGTGCTTTCGGAACGTGCTTTGTGCAGCCAGAGCCTTGTATCAAAAGGAGACGTTGATATACCGGAGACCGGCGAGGAGGTCTTCGTGATCGAGGGCTCCTTCGCTGATGAGTTGGGCGAGCACCGAACATGGTCCTGGAGCCGAGACTTGGTTCAAGCTCACTTTGGGCTCCCTTACTGCCTTCATTCTCAGCGTGCGCAGCGGCGTGTCAGTCAGGGCCGAGAAGCTTTCGCGGCAGGGTGCAGTTGGTGCAATTGGGATTCCCCCACCAACCCTTCCTGCCTCCAGTTGTGCAACTTCGGTCAGAAACTTAAGATGGCATAGGCAGTCGCCGACACCAGATGACAACAGCATCAGGCATCAAGTAAACCCCCATGTTTCCGCAGTGCCCGGAAGGGGGAAATGACGGCTCACACTTTGGCAAACGTTTCGCAACCCGGACACAGGACTATACCGTCGTTTGTCGGCTTGGTTCCTGAGCGGATGTAGGGGCATTGCTGTATGTCCACTCATATGTTGCTCATTAGGCTTTGACACGCTGAGGAAATGCTGGCGACAAGCAGCGCCTGAAGCGCACCTCCGGCCCACAGGACCGGTCTTTCAGAGATCCAGAGAGATAAGCAGGTGTGACCAGAAAGTGGATCCAGCCAAAAGCCCCTACACGGTGGACATGGTCTGTCTCATGTCAGTCGAATGTTCTCGTGTCGCGCACTGGAGCGGATTTGCCAGGGCTGTCTGCTCTACGTGAAATCGCGGCACCTGAGATCGCCTGAGGCCGATGGCCGAGCAGCTCTCGAATTCTCAGCATGTCGTGACGTGGTTCTGCTGCTGGCAGGTGGATATCGCCGCGATGCAGACTCCTGCGTCCTCATGATGTGAACGCAAACTGCCTGTAGTGCGGTGAAATGCGAGCATTGAATCTGTTTTTCCTTGACCTGTATAGCGCCGCGTGAAGCATCGCCAAGTCCCAGCAAAGGGGGGGTGCTTCTCAGGAGGCGTGGGATGGCGACAGGAGCGCTCCTGTGCAATCCCGTATAGGTCATTGCAGATCGAGATGTTTGCACAGACTTGCAGCGTGCGCCGGTGCTTGACCCGTGGAGAAAAGCGCTGAGTATGGCTGTTTCTGCGCTGGTCCACACAATGCACCGGCATTTGCGGGAGGCACAAAGCCGAATGAAGATGCTGACCAAGCTGCAAGAAGAAGCAGTAGCAGTAGGTGGGAGCGTACTCTTGCTGGGCTTTCTTGCAGCGGCATCGTCGTGGTGTTTCCATATGTTGCAGACTATGACGATCCGTACCTGCAGCTGGACTTTCCAGCCGCCTCCTCTTTGCCACCTCCATGCACGGGACCGAGATCCACCCGTGGCAGAGCGAGCAAATTGTAGGGCTGGCCAGCTAGGCATCTCGGTCATCGAAGCTGCATTCGGTTATACGCCGGACCGAATACTCTACGAGGCATGGAAGCTCGTGCACTCAGAAAACGATTCGCAGACGACTTGCACAGAACCTCGACTTCGGGGTGGACTGTGACTCCCGAGTTGCAATTGTTGGGCCGAACGGTGCAGGCGGAGCCTCGGGCGAGATCTGCATTCTTTCCATGTGCACTCGTAGGGTCGTAGAGGTAAGTCCACCTTCCTCAAGCTGCTGGATGGTTCGCTGGAGCCCACCCACGGCTTTGTCAGGATCAGCCACGCTTTGTGGGAATGCTGTGGCTGGAAGTGTTTCTACACTTTTGTATGTCAGGAGACATGCCAAGCTCCAGTTGGCAAGGCCCACTGTTATGTCGCAGTAACCCTGCCGAGACCAAGCATGTGGTAGGTTCACGCAGCATCATATCGAGATGATGGATCCAGCCGATCCCCAAGAATCGTTGCTCTATTTCTGCACCCACTCGAAGGTAAAATCTCGAAGCCTAAGCACGTCTGCTAGAGGATTCTGATGCTGTGACTCACATGCGCAAGCTCGGAGCTGGTGGTATCAAGGAGGCCGGGGCCAGGCTTATCCGATTTTTTCAGAAGGGTCTTATCGAATGTCCTATTCCGCCTCGGCAGAGTCGGGTTGTGGCCGGACGAGTGGAGAACTTGCACCCTAAACTACCCTAAACCCTAAATGTCTGGCATCCGCACGGGCCCTGTTTATGCCAAGGTGGAGGGGGAGTTTATGCCAAGGTGGAGGGGGAACCAAATTGAATTGAACTTCTCAATACATCTGACCCCAAAGAGGTCAATGAGCCTGGATGGGCCTTTCCGCTATGGTCCTAGTATGTAAGCCTGCTAGTGACGCATGCTCGTGTGCGAATACGAGGGCAGGGAATGTCCTCACATCAACCGTTAAACATCTTGCTGGGGCAATCTAGCTGCATGGGGACAATGCAGGCAGAATTTTGGGCTGGTAGGTGCGACTCGTCTGTCAGGATGGGACCAGCGAGGTCACCATCGAGGAGGCCACATTCTGCAAGGCGCGGACTCGTTCCTTGGCATGAGACTGGCACAGGCACGAAAATACCTTGGTCGTTTCGGCCTGCACGGGGACCTTGCCCTCCAGCCGGTGAAGCCTTTGCCTTACAGAGCATCCTGTGACTCTGTGACTATCCTGTGAGAACCGAGAGCGTGGAATGGGGTTGGGGGCCGCAGTCTCAGGTTCCTGAGCGGCGGCCAAAAGAGCCGCTTAGCCTTCGCGGAGCTTGCCTGGTGCGCCGCGCGAGGGCGAGGGGGGAGTGCAGCATCGCCGCAGCTTGAGCTTTTGTCAGGTCTGCTCCTCACATCATGCTCCTGGACGAGCCGACGTCGATGCCTTGCTCCTTGAAAAAGCGAGAACGTAGGAGAGCAGTCGTGCGTGAGGAACCATTTGGACCTCGAAACAATCGAGGGCCTCGCAATGGCGCTGAACAAATTCGAGGCCAGCTTCTCTACTGACTGCTGGGCCACTGAAGACAGACTCAGCAGGGTAGCATGGTCGATGGCAGGGAGGCGTGGTGCTCGTCAGTCACGACGATCGACTAGTGCGGTGCTCATCTGTGGAGTTTTGATAGTTGCAGCAATGTCAGCCGAACCGGAGGCTTTCCATGTCTGAAGCTTGTGCTTTTGCAATGTGGTCCTGCTTGGCTCAGCTCTCCATGGTTGCAGACGAGCTCTGGGTAGTGACTCCGGGCAAGTCGAAGGCTCTCTTCCTAGAAGCGGCATAGAGGTTTCAACCTGAAGTCTTGTTGCCAGGATGTGCCTGGAAGGGTCACCGTGTTTGAAGGATCCTTCGAGGACCACAACTGTCCATGAGACTCGTCCTGCTGATGATAGTGAGCTGTGGGAGGAGTACCGGGAAATGCTTCGCAATGATTTCATTCAGAAAAATCTCACAAGTGGCGGCCGCATCAAGCGAGCATCGTGAGGCCCGAATGGTCTTTAGGAGGGCTTCAGTGTTCCTAAGCCACAGACCCACAGCGCATAGCATGCGAGGCCGGCAGTGTTTGAGATTCCTCCTTCGCAGATCTGGACGTTGTGCAGAAGCAGTTTGCGCAGGAGGCGATCTCAAAACTACATCACTACGATGAGTGCTCCTGCAAACTGTCCCCAACAGACGTCCAAAGAACGGTCAGACAGTTCGAGGGGCCTCGACATGCGGACCACCTCAGCTCCGGCGTGTATGTGTGTGTCTGTGTGTCTGTGTCTGTTGGGAAGTTGTGAGTTTCAGGCTTTTCCGAGTTCGTTTCGGTGCTGAGTTTCGGGGCGGAGTTTCGGAACATGAACATGTTCACAAGGGCATGGTCAGCTTCAGTCTCACGCCGTCAGTCTGAGGCCCAGGCCTGCAAGGATAAGACTCGGATTGACACTGCCCACATTGTCCCCCGAAGCTGACCCGAGTCCCGAAACCCGAAGCTGGCTCCCCCTGTGCCGAACCTGGGCGCCGAAACTATGCCTTTCTGATCCGAGAACCGTGGCAGCCGATCCGAAACTAGAACCCCGACACTACGGGCACCCGCCGGCGTTGGCACGTCTGTGGGAGGTGCCTGGCGTTCTGAGCAGATGCACAAGATGTGAACCATGTAGCTCAGTTCCGGAAGGGAGGCGTGCCGAAATGACTTGTGTAGATACGGAAGGCGAGCCGTTTGTTAGGTCCCTGTGAAACTAGAACCCACACTTCACTTCCTGTGCCGCACGAGTTATTTATGCAAGGGTGCCTGAGGCTGGTCCAAGGCACGATTTTCCACCCTTGCAGTATTCAGGTGCATTGTTTTGGTAGAAGGTCTCACCCAGCAGGAGCTGAAAAACAGCTCCGCGCTAGGTTGGACAGTGGCCCTCTCATGTATGGTGTGCAAAGGCTTGAAGTGCTTCTTCTGCAGACGTGTCAATGCATCATCGGTTGCACTGATGTCACCTACGACGGTTTTGCAAGAATCTGCTTCAGTGCACATGCAGGGCACGAGAAATCCGAGAAAAGGTGCTGTCTTTGCTGCTGTGCTCGAGCAACTCTGCGATCCAGCATGTTCAGGTTGCGTATGGTCCAAGGCCTTCTTCGGATGAATTATCGGCATCACAATCCTGAATCTCTCCCCGTCATCAGTCGTAGCCGGGAGCGGGAGCAGGAACAGGAGCAGGAGCAGTAAAAGTTGGAGTGGTAGTAGATCAGATGTTCTTGATCAGCGGTTGAGCATTGATGTACGTTGAAGGTTTTAGAACATACTTCTGTTTGGAAGGATGGCTCTAGGCAAGTACATTCTGGCCAGGAGTTTGTAGCTGCACACACGTGTTACCTTGCTGTCCTTATCGCCTCGCCGCATTTTCGCTTTTGGCTCAGTTGTGGTCATGAAAAGGGCAAGAGTACTTGCACGAGCAATTCAAACGTTCCACATGATGCTACCTCCAGCTCCCCCGCGTAGCAGTGTAGCTGCAGAAGAACGGCTCCCAATGACTCGGCCTCCCAAGGACCACGCAGAGGCGAAGCGACGAGTTGTAGAGTTTGGGCCACAGCGCAATGGCCGAGACGGAAGAGTCCCGTCACAGGCAGAGCCCAGAGCAGATCAGTTGTGGACGGATATCGCAGCTGTCCAGCTTGAGGCGCAAGACAGAATTCGGCCATAATTAAAATTGCATGAGCGCATGAGCGCATGAAGGGGTGTACACCTGCCGTTGTGCCGCATGCCATATCTGGCTCACAGAGGGTGCTGAATTCTACTCAGCACAATCCGCTCGAGAGACCGACTCAAAAGGCACTCGGCGGGAGGGGAGGCTGGGGAAGGGGGCTTAGAAGAGACTGCATGATGTGATCTGGCAGGTCTCCCTGCAAAAGAAGCACAAGAACCATTGGACCATGGAGCTTCGAGTTGGAGGAAAGTTTCGCCTTGGGCGCAAGATCGGATCCGGATCTTTCGGCGACATTTACATCGGAACCAACGTGCCCAGCTAAAATGTAAGACTGCACCAAATATAGCTTCAGAGTTCAGCACCTCTGCTCGTCGTTTGCAGGTGCAGACCAGCGAGGAAGTAGCGATCAAGCTGGAGTCCATCAAGTCCAAGCACCCGCAGCTACTTTACGTGCCTCGGTGGTACACTTGCAGCTTTGAATTTCCCTTGGGCCCCTTGGGCCCCTTGCGCACCTCAGGAGTCGAAGCTCTACAAGATCCTGGCAGGAGATGCGTCAAAAATGGGCAAGGGCAAGCCTGTGAACCCTTGAGCTTCCAAGGAGGCGTTGGTGTGCCAAACGTGCATTGGTATGGCGTAGAGGGCGACTACAATGTGATGGCGGCTGGCTTGGAACTTGTAGCTTTCCGTAGGTCAAGACTATATTGAAAGTGTATCGATCCTTTTTTATCTCTCTCGCTCTCTCTCTTGTTCGCGCTCTGTTGTGCATATTTCTTGACTGTGTTTTGGAGCATTGAGG